GTCGCGGTGGAGTCGCGAATGAGACCCAGAGACCCTACCGCGAAGGAGCTGACGTTGAAGCGAGGGAGGCGGGACGACATGAGATACGTTCCGGAGTGTTCTTCGCTAAGGACGAGAAAGGGTCGGGGGGCCGCAGCTGTCGGGTGAGGTTTTGTGTTTTAGCTAGGGTGAACCCTAGAGGCTTTAGTTGAGAAGGTGCCATTAAGTAAGGATCGGAATGAAGCGAGAGGTGATCTGGGAAGGTAGCGCGGGGGGAATAGCGCTCTAGGCAGAAGGCACAGTCCATGCCAAGGTCCTAGGGCAGCACTGGGTCTGGTGTGTTGGAGGAATAGCCAGGAGGCCCGTGTGGCTGGAACAGAGTGGGTGAGGAGGAGAGAGGGAGGAGGGGATGGGGCAGATTGTGCGGGGCCTTGGGAATCAAGGGGAGGACTTGAGTTTTTACCGCAGTGAGTGGGAGCCCTAGAGGGCTGTGGGCAGAGGAGTCGGACCTGACTCGGGTGCTCACAGGTGCCCTGTGGCTGCTGTGGGAGGGAGGGAGGGAGTCTGGGTGAGCGGCGAGCAGTTAGGAGGCCTCTGACGACTGGCAGTGACTGTCAGGTGCCGTGCGGCTCCGCAGGCCTGTCCGCTCCCCGCTCTCCTGGCACTCACAGCCCGCCTGACTCTGAGCCTGGCTTTCCAGGCCTGTCACCCTCTGGATGGGGTCTATGTGACGGGAGGACGGGGGAAGCAGGACGACACTCTGTTCTTTGCCCTGTCTCTCTTCCTTTGAACACAAAACGGGGACCAAGACCCCTGCCACAGGAGAAATGTATGCGGTGGGGCTGCCCCACCCATCGATGCGGTGTCCCTTTAGGGCCTGAGACGCTGCTGCCTGGGGATGGGCTGGACGCGGGAGTCCTTCTTCCCCTCGCATCCTGCCCGTTGCGCCAGGTCCCGACAGTGCACAGGTGGTGGCGGGAAGTGTCAGGCCGTGTCTCTAAGGAGGAGAGCTCCCACTGCCCCCACTGCCCCCACTGCGCACTGTTCCCAGCACTCCCTTTTCTCTGGCCGCTGTAGGCAAAGAAGGCAGCAAGACAGTCACAAAGCACAGAGCCCACAAGGAGACCCAGCCAGAAGGAGAAGAGAGGGCGCCCCGAGGAGAGGCCCCGAGCCAGGTCAGCACCCGTCCTGCCTCTGCTCCCACAGCTACCTGGGGGCCCACCTGCGCCTGCTGGTCCCTGCGGTTCTCAGCCTCCTGGGGGCCCATCACCCATCACCCCTTACGGGAGCGACGCGATTTCCGAATTCAGTCTTGGAGATAGAGCCAGTCCAAGAGTCCCGTTCTTGGGCCCCATCAGCTTACGTAGGAACCATTGCTCCGGGACTGTGATTTCTGCCCCCAGGGTCAGCACGCCGTGTCTGTGGTCCTCACGCTGGGGATGCTCCTGGCATCGAGGGGGGCCAGGGTCCCCCCCACCCCCAGAGAGTGACCCGCCCAATGTCAACAGTGCCGAGGGGAGGGACCGTCCCCCACACCAGTGGTTCTGAGACTCTGAGTCCAAGGCCCACCAAGGCGGGGGACACAGCTCCTCTCCCTGCCCACTGGCCAAGTGAGATTCTGGCATCAGGGAGGGAACCTGCCCGTGGAACTTCGGCAGCTTCTGCCAAGTAGAATGTCGAGTCCAAGCTGTGGAAACAGGCCTTCCGTCATTGACGGGTGTCAAATTGGGGCACCTTTCCGTAATTCGTTCACTCGGGTTTCTGTTAAGTAGCCACTAACTCTCAGTCATATGTTCATAATGATGCTAATTCGGAGACTTGATATTGTTTACCGGCAAGAACCAGAGGAAGGGCTGCCATCCCTGGTCACTTCAGGTGACTGCCTAGACCAGGTCACGACGGGCCTGACCCCCCACCCCTCCCGCTTCCAGGGCCCCCTGAGGGCCTCCCTCCCAGTGGCTGCGGGTTCCCCACCACACACTCAGAGGGTGGCAGTGGCCGGGTTGGGGCTGCTGGACGGGAGTCCAGGGCGGGACTAAGGGGTGTGACTCCACAGGCCTGCGAAGGTGGAGCGAACCCGGAAGCGGTCAGAAGGCTTCCCGCCCGACCGGAAGGTGGAGAAGAAGAAAGGTGAGGGGCCAGGTCGCTGACAGGGAGGAGCCTGAGCCAACAAGGAGCTGGCTCCTGTCACAACAGCGGTGCTAGGGCAGGTCCCCGGCCCTCTCTGATGAAGGGTCGTGGGAGTCGGTTGGGTGTGGGGGGCCAGGCCCGGCGGCCCCCGCAGCCCTGCTCAAGCCCAGGTGTTCCATTCTCTCCTGGCCCCAGAACCTTCTGTGGAGGAGAAGCTGCAGAAGCTGCACAGCGAGATCAAGTTCGCCCTGAAAGTTGACAATCCGGTGAGGCCCTCGCAGGGCACCGAGGCCACGTTGCAGCCACTTCCTCTGAGCCAAGCAGTCCCCCTGTCCCTCGTGTCTGGAGCTCCCTTAGAAGCCTCAGGAAACTGAGGCAAATCCAGGGTCTTTGTTCTCCTGGGTGTCCTCCCCAGAGGGCCCAGGTTGGCTTCCTCAGGTACATTGCTTGGTGTCCCCAGCGGGTGGTGCCAAGCAGCCCTCCAAGTGCTGCGTCCCGACCACTGTTCCTGGGGTTCCCTGGCACTCCGCCTTCCACCCAGGGCGTCCCGTGGGGCCCCGAGGGCTCCCTCAGCTAGGTGCTGCCCCTCCTCACTCCCCTCCTCACCCTGCAGGACGTGAAGAGGTGTCTGAACGCACTAGAGGAGCTAGGGACCCTACAGGTGACCTCACAGATCCTCCAGAAGAACACAGATGTGGTGGCCACGTTGAAGAAGGTACGGTGGGAACCCAGCAGCGGAAGGGGCTGGTGGCAGGCGAGGCAGGGATTTGCCCAGGGAGCCTGGGTTCCCGGCTGCAGCAGCCCTCAGTCCAGGAGGACACGGGCGCACTGGCAGGCCGGAGTGCGGGGGTCCACTGCGCTGTGCTCGTGGGAAGGTGCTGCCAGGGGTGGTGGCGCTGGGGGCGGGCCTATGGCGGGGGGTGAGACCAGCTGCATCTCCTGAGCCAGGCCTCTTGCGGGCCAGATCCGCCGTTACAAGGCCAACAAGGAGGTGATGGAGAAGGCCGCGGAGGTCTATACCCGGCTCAAGTCTCGGGTCCTGGGACCAAAGATCGAGGCCATCCAGAAGGCGACCAGAGCTGGGGTGGAGAAGGAGAGGGCCGAGGTGGAGAAGGCCGCGGAGGCGCTGGCCGGAGAAGAGGCTCCCACGGAGAGGGCGGAGGTCGAGGCGAGCGCTGGTGAGCAGGCACCGCTCGGCGCTCCACTCCCCCCACCCCCCACCCCCCCCACGGCTAGAGTGGCCTGTTCCTGCTGGCACTCTGCTTGCCTGGCTGTGTTCCCAAGGTCGCCGGGGCCTGGTGCACGCACATACCTGCGCTGCTCATAGACCCCTGGAGGCAGACAGCACGGGAGGCCGTGTGTTTGTGCATGTGGGCCCTGTGTGGGAGCATTGCTGGGACGGGCCTCGGGTTGGAGAGAGAGGGTGTCTCCCACAGGGACAGTGGCACTGGTCCTTGCCTAAAGGAAGGGCGGTCCTTCTTGCTGGGGTCACGTGGTGCCCATGGAGCTGCCGAGAAGTGTTCCTTCAGATGGGGGCAGGATGGTTCGGCTGAGGCCTCAGCAGCCCCAGGGACAGCCTGCAGGGGGCGTCGCCTTATTTCTGTGCCCGGCAGGCTTTTCCGCCATTGCCCGTGGCCACTCATTTACTGGCTCCTCCCTCTTGAGGCCTTTGTGTGTTTCGCCGTCAGGAGGTGTAGGGGTGGGGGGTGTGGGCGCACAGGATCAGGGCCCTCGAGGCAGGCGGTGGTTCCTTTAGGGCCCCTGGCCCCAAACCAGTGGGCAGGGTTACGGGGCCCCATGAGCCTCTCTCCCGCCAGACCTCTCCGCCCCGGTGAATGGCGAGGCCACGTCCCAGAAGGGCGCGGGCACGGAGGACAAGGAGCAGGAGGAAGGGCAGCATTGTGAGGAGGGGCCGGGCTGTGGTTCCTCCGAAGAGCCGTTACACAACGAGTGAGTACCCCCACGGGCGGCCGCCCCCTGACAAGGCCTCCGCTGCGTGGGCCGCTCGTTCTGGTGAGGGCCGCAGGGAGTTGTCCTACGCGCCGGCCTCCCACCCCCACCTTTGCCGCTGACCCCCGGGGGCCCCATCGAGGGAGCTCCGTGGCTCTGAGCTGCTCCGGGCCCCGCCTCTGGGAGGATGGCTTCCTCCTAGCGCCCCGGGAGCAGGCACAGTGGGCTGCTTGATGCTGAGGATCCCGGGCCTGCCCGCGCCTGGCGGGGGTCCGGCTGGGGCAGCGTCGGGGGCTCCGGACGTGGGCCGCACTCCCGGGGCGCTGGGTCTCTGTCGGCAGTGGGAAGCCGGAGGGCTCACCCCCGCCTGCCTGTGCTCCCACCAGCAGCGCGCGGGAGGACCCCGAGCTGGATGTGCCCGGGAAGGAGCGGCAGGAGCACGCGAGGGTGCGGATGGACTCGGAGTCCCTGGACGAGGAGAACAGCTGAGCCCCGGCAGCCAGGCCCACCCGGCACACGTAGACGCCCCAGGCCTGCCCCGGCCCCGGCCCCGGCCCCCGCCCGCCACCCGCGGAGCAGAGACCTGTTGGGGAAGCGCTGTGCTGTCCCTTTGTATCTGTCCCCTGGGTTGTTTTTCTGCCTAACTTCTGTGATTTCCAGCCGACATGAAATGACTATAAAGGGTTTTTTTAATGAAAGTCACTTTTATTGGTTCGGTTTTCTAGGATTGCGGGTGTAGCTGTCTAGGGCCCGTCCAGGGACAGAGGGTTTAAGCCACAAGGTCACCGTTCACAGCGAATGTGAACTCGGTTCTGACACGGCCCTTGCCCGGCCTGGGCCTGCAGAGCTGACGGTGAAGGAGAGGGGAGGTGGGAGGCCTTTTTAGAAGTAACACAGGCTCAGGTAGAGGTTGTGGTCTGATCCTCTTGCATGCAGCATCCTAGAGCCCAGACATTATTGCAGGGCCTTGCTCCCATTCCTGCTCCTGGCCAGGCTGCAGGTAAGACCCAGGGTCCCCAGAAGCAGCAGCTTGGGGCGTTCAAGCCATTCAGGCTTCGGGGGGTGCTGTGGGCTAGCTGTTGTCCTTGGTGTTCAGAGGATGTGAGCGTTGGGGGCAGGCCTTGCCCTGTGACCTTGGACAAGTGGCACTCCCACTCTGGGCTTCTTGTTCCTCACCTGTAAAGTGACCCCAGGCTCCCAGGGCCGGCACATGGATTTGGACAGATGTGTGCGGCTCCCAGCCGGGCCCCTGCATCACCAGTGGGGTCCACCGTGTGTCCTCCGCCCTGCCGCTCGTCAGGTGCCTCCATCCTAGCCAGGGCTGTGGTGCGGTGTGGGACTTCTGAGCCTGGCGTCCCCCCGTTTGGTCTGGCTGGACTGAAGCTCCAGTGACTGTGCTCAGTTTGCGTGAATGGCCGTGTGCCCAGCGCCTCTACCTGTGGTGGCGCCTGAGGAGGGGTGGGCCCGAGAGGCTTCCTGACCCATCCCCCGTGTCTCACCATGGCCGGCTCCCAGGAACTAACGACGACCCTTTGGGGAAGGCTGGCCTCGTGTCCTGAGCTTGGAGCACTCCATTGTTTCTGAGAAGGGGCTGGTATGAGGGCACCTCAAGCCCTCCTTAAGGGAGGGAGGTAGCCTGAGTGGGGGGGTGTGGGTGGGATACGGGGGCTTCCTTGGCAGGGCTCCTCCCAGCTGGAGGACAGTGAGGCTCAGGGAGGGGGAGCCTCAGCTCCCTCACGTGCCACCCATCTCGCGTGGCTGCCCTGGGCATTTAGGGACAATGTGGCTGGGAAGGAGGGGGATGCTGCGTGTGTCCCAGCCCGTGTTCTCCAGCCTGGGGTGAGTGTGGGACTGTGTTGAGCACATTTTGTCATATACCCCCTAGGGCCCCATGCCCTGCGGGAAAGACCTCTCGTTCCTTCCTCAGCCCAGGGACCTTGGGGACCACAAAACATCAGCTCTGGGGGTGGGCCGAGGCCACAGTGGGCTGCTGCAGCTTCACCCTCAGAGCCCTTTGGCCACACTGGGTGTCAGCAGAGGCGGTAGGAGCCCGCGCCGGGTGACTGGCATTCTGGTACCTTCTGGTACAATGGAACACGGTTTGCTGAGGGCTGGGGTGTGTGCTTCTGGAGTGAGGACAGTGCTCCGGGAGCCCAGGATGGAGGAGCACCTGCTGTGCCGGTAGCTAAAGGACCCAGACTGGGGTGCCCCAAAGATAAAAGGGCGCCTCGTGGAGGCTGCTGACTGGAGAACCTTCTAGACCTAGGCATGTTTCCACTTCTCTTTCCTAATTGGAGTGCTTGCTTGAGACCTTCAGGGGAAGGCCCTCTGTCAGCGGTCTTAGCAGCCCTGGGCCCCTAGGCCAGGAGAAGGCCCAGCGGTGCTTGGGAAGAAAGGGCGGACGGTGTAGGCAGGACCAGAGCTGGGTGCGCGGCGCGGCTGAACTCAAAGTCCTGGGTGCCCCCACGGATGCCAGGCAGCGCCAGCCTGCAGGGTCCAGACCTTCGGGGATTTGGAGCTGGTTTGGGCTGGGGAGAAGGCTCCGCGGAGGGCTTCGTGGGCAGGAGGGACCTACAGCTGCTGCCCAGCAGGGTGCAGGGCAAAGGGCCCCACCAGCCAGCAGAGCGGCGGGCCATGCTGCACACTCTCCAGCATCTGCTCCAGCTTCTGCCATGCCTGGCCCATGGCCCCGCGGCTCTGGGCCAGGCGCTCTGCCGGCAGCTCTTCCACGGAGCTGGCCGAGGAGATGAGGCCGTAGAGCTCACAGAGGCTGTGGCGCGCCCGCCCGACCTGCCGCTGGAGCTCAGAGGGGAGGCCCTGGAGGCCGGAGGCCAGGGTGCTGTAGGCCACATGGAGCTGCTGGATGAGGCCGCAGGCCCTGGACAGAGCCCCGGAGCCTGGCACCTGCGGGAGAGGGAAGGGGTGAGGTAAGCAGGAGTTGGGGGAGAAGAGCGGGAGCCGTGGCCCTTTGTTACATACCTCTTGGGGAGCGGCTCCCTCCACTCTGCTGCTCGGACCCTGGTCCAGCCATGGCTGGCTTTCTGGAGCCTGCTTGGCCCTTTCAATCTAGAAAGAGAGTCCAGCAGAGAAATTACGGCTTCTCGGCAGGGTCCTTTCACACGCTCTCCCCTGGGGACATTCCTGGGCCTGGCCCTAGAGCCTCATGTCTAGACCTTCTTGTGGCGTGGTGGAAGAGCCATCTGTGTCGGGATGGGCAATAATCCATATTCTTGGGCTTGTCGGAGACCAAATAAACACTTCCCAGCTCAAAACCCTCCCATAGCTCCCCAGTGCCCTTTGGATAAGATCCAGCTCTTCACCATGGCCTACACTGTCTGCTCCCTGGCCTGCCCAGACCTCATCTCCTGCTGACACTGTCACACTGCTCTGGACACGCTAGCCTCATTTTGTCCTCTGACCACTTCCAGCATGCTGCTGCCTCAGGGCCTTTGCACATGCTGCCTGCCCAGCCTGGAGCATGCTTCCTCTGGCCTTACACATGGTGCCCATCCGATCTTGGCTTGAGGTTGTCCTCCAGGTGAGGCCTTTCCCGGCCACCCAGTGCAGTGGCCTCTAGTCCTCCTGTCAGATTTCACTATTCTCAGAGGCACATCACTGTCGAGTTATTGCGGGTGTTTGTTTCTTGGCTGTTTATCTCCCCGTTTGGGTGGAGGTAAAGCTCTTTTGGCAGTTTTCCTTCCTTGATTGTTGGGTCGCCAGCACATAGGAGCCTCCCTATCCCCACCACCAATCTCCGTTGTCCCAGCAGCTGGGGGGTGGGGCAGGCAGCACGTGGGCCAGGTGTGGACTCCCAGCTTGCAGTCACCCTCCCAGCGCACGCCACGGCAACTCCCATCTAGGGCCCGCTAGTCAGCTCCAGTTTCCCCCATCCAAAACCGAGCTCTCACTGTTCACTCTCAACCCACTCGGCACCTCCGCTGGGGTCCCCTGCTAAAAATCTCCCAGGCAGAGTGCCTGGCTGAGGGTTCAGTCAGTGGAGCTTGCGGCTCTCAATCTCAGGATTGTTAAGTTCAGGCCCCATGTTGGGCATAGAAGTTACTTAAATACGATACTTCCAAAAAATTTTAAGTCTCCGAGGTTCCTTAGGGTCCCTCTCTCTCATGCCCCACATCTAGCCCGCCCACAGACCCGGGCAGCCCTGCTCTGGAGGCACATCCTGAGCACAGGTGCTTCTCGCTGCCGCTGACACTAGCCCTGAGGCCCCATTGTCTGTCACTTGCCAGGATTTTTGTGGAAACCTTACTGATCTCCTAGGTCCAGCCTGTTCTCCCTTCAGCAGCCAGAGTGACCCCCTAACAAAACCTCTGTTGGGTCAGGCCAGTGCTCCGTCCCGGGCGCTGGGTGGGGGCTGAGCACCATCCCTGGCCCCACCCCTCTCAATGCCAGGTGCACCTTTTCCCACAGTCGTGACAGCTACGGATGCCCCCAGACATGGCCCAGCGTCCCAGAGGCCTGATCAGCCCCATCGAGACCCCACTGGATTGGACCAGTGCTCTTCAAACTGGCTCACCAGAGAGCACGGGGCACTGATTGAAAACACAGTTGCGTGGGCACACCCCGGGGGATCCCGATTCAGGCCGCATCACCGGGCTCCTCCCTGCGTGTGTAAATGACGCTGATGGATCTGAACATCTAAAACTCAGCTTGGGAACCGGGAGGTCCTCAGAGCTGGGGGTCCCTCACCATCTGCATCAGCCACCATGGGCTGCTGCTGGACTGTGTGCAGCCCGCCCCCCAGCTTGAGTGGCAGCTCTCAGCGGTGCCGAAGGCCTGGGGGAGCCTGGGGAGCTATTCTGAGGAAGGTGCCGTCGGGGAGGGCAAGGGTCTTACCAGATCCAAGGAGTCCTCCAGCTGGGCCAGCGCAGCCCTGGCCTGGAACTGACTGTGCTGCAGGTGGCTCAGGGCATGCTCAAATGCCCGCTGGCGGAAGCCGGGGGCCAGGTCACCCAGACGCACGAAATAGCTGCCGCGGTCGGCCGTGAGCACCTTTGGCTCGGGTTCGGACGCAGCAAGCCGAGCTGGAAAGGAAGACAGGATTCTTCAATCCGAGAGGCCCCTGGAAAATCCAGGGCTTGGGTTTTACAGAAGCCAAGCCCTCCCAGGGAGGTGGGCCCAGCTCTGCCGTTCTCACCTTGCTCCTCGGCATCCATGGGGTGGAAGATATCCCCCAGCTCCCCCAGCTCGTCCCGGAGCGTTGCAAAGCTCACGGCTCCTTCGTGTCCTGCATCCTCCCTGCCCAGGGTGGCCCCATGGGTGCCTGTGGCCACGGCAGTGGCTTCCCTGGCAAGGTCCAGGCCGGTACAGAGAGTGTCTGGGGCGCTGGATACCCCAGAGGACAGAGCCTCCTGGGGTCTCGGGATAGTTTGCTCCCCTCCTTTGTCTGGGGCACTGTAACTGGGGAGTCCACTCCAGACACTGTCCTCGGTACCAGGTAACCAGTTCTGGATGGTCTGCACTGTCCCTTTGGCCACACTCCCTGCCCCGGTGAGCCCAGTGGACACTGCATCTTTGGTGCCAGTCAGGACGGCCTTTGATGTGTCCATGCCAATCTGGACAGCTCCTTTGGCCACATTCATGGCACTGGTCATCCCACTGCACATGGTGTCCTTGGTGCCCGTCAGGACAGTCTTGGTTGTGTCCAGGCCAGTCTGGATGGTGCCCTTGGCCATGTTCGCTGCCCC